AGCATAACAAACACATCAGAACGCTGGAGAACAACGATAACATGCCATGAGGCCGCATCGACAACTTGTAAACTCTAGCAAGAGATAAGGACAATGTTCCTCAGAGGTACTTCATGTTCCTCTACTTGCCTGGCTACGAGCCTGAAATGATCACAGCCTGCATAACGGAAGTACCTACTTATGTTGTACCTTGAGCCCGTAGGCTTAGACAACTGTAGGGTGGCCACTTATACAGCAGAAGCCCAAAAGTTGGAAACCCAATAGCCTCAAACCTTAAGAGCAATGTATAGGGAATCCCAGCACTCACTGTTCTTAATCCGGTTTCCAACATGTTGGAGTTTACTACACTCCGCGGAACCTTGAAGCGACACCCTAAACCCGTAGACTAGTTGCAAGTTCCTGGGATCGAGACACTAAAAACCTCCCAGCACCTAAGCCCTAAACCTGTAAGACCCTACATATGCCATAAGCCCGAAACTGCCCTACACCCTTCCGCTTCCAAAGACTTTGAGGCTATCTGCAGAGCCAGCAGCGGGTGCGATGTAGCATACAAGGAAACCTGTTCTCCAAGAGCAAGCTTTTGTGGAAAACAAAAACTCTAACCTCTAAACTGAAGAACCTTTGAATGTGGTTTGGCCTAATTCTGAAAGTATGATGTTTTGAGTCAGAAGTGGTCCATTGTAGGGTTTAGGGCTCGCACTGTAATGCTTAAGTTTCGGTTCCTCGATTCTTCTCTTGTTGTCTGAGGGGGTCTGGGCGTTGTAAGTGTAGGTTGTCTTTTTTGTTTTTGGCCGTGGGGGGGGTGGGGGCTCGAGCATGTGCTTTGATACCCGGAACCCTCGATTAGGCACCGTGTCCTTCCGGGTTTATGTAGACAGCTGTTCCATAGGGTTGCTTTTTATAGTTTAATGCACCCTACAGCCCTAGTCACTGCCCTAGTCTACGAAGAAAGGCCCTCAACCCTAAACCCCAAACCGATCTTGTCATGGTTAGCCGAGGCTGTTGAGGTTGTGAACCGCTGCCTCTCCATTTGTGGTGAGAACATGGCATCGATGCAAAGCTTGGGCGTGATATTTCTGATTTTGGGAATCTCTGGCACGCTGCTGACCACATGGTCTCTTGCATGTTCTTGGAAGACTTCGTAGTAGTACATTGGGTACCTTTTGTAACCTTTTGCGGGTACTTGAATCCCAAAGGTTAACCCGTCGTTGGTTGCCCTAGGATAGCGGACACCTGAATGATGACCAATGTTGTTCCTTGGGGTTCCTGATTACATTGCATTCATAATATACTGCACCCCCCAAAACACCCTATTCTAATTATTCAGGCCCCCACATTAGGAAAGCTTTTTCGTTGCAGTCGGACAGCCAGGCCAGTGATGAACTGCGCAGTGGATAAATGCAGAGGTAAACACGCTAGACAAGAAATTTGTCATAGCAACGCAGCGGAAAGAACGCAGTCCCCCAACACGTGGCAAAATGGCAGAAATGAGAACATCAGCCAACCCTAAACCCTCAACCCAAAACCCTAAACCCCCCCGCAAGGTGGCTGCAGCTTGGGAGGAAAAGATGGCCCCTCAAAGATGGAAACTCGGCTCCTCAAACCCTATAAACCTAGTACTTGGAGGCCCTTTTGACTTAGTAAGTAGGGTTAGTAAGGTGGGTTATGGGGATTATAATGGGGTTTCTAGGGGATACTAAGTAGACTTACTAAGTCAAAAGGGCCTCCAAGTAGTAGAGTAGGTAACCTTTAACCTTTTTTGAGTAGTATGGCCGCTATACAATCCATATATAGCGAGAAAGGTGAACCTTCACTTCCCCATGATACCCGACAAGTAGGTAAACCATGGTAAAGGGTTTCATGAAGATTTGTGCCAGGCAAGTGTAGTTTGACCTCTTGGCAAGGAACTTATTTTGGAGCTCTTTTGGCTTTAGCCGGGCTTTACGGCGTTAAAACAGCTGATTTGAGCTATTGCCTGAAACTCATTTCGAAATACGAGACGAACGGGACACCATCCTACTAGCAATAGACCCTGCTTGGAGGTTCAGGGGTAGTTATAAGTGGGATTATAAGTCCCCTAATTATCGGTTGCAAGTATAGTTACCTACGTCTAACCTTACTTATAACTGCCCATGAACCTCCAAGTGCTCTGGCAAGTTAGGAAGCCATAGGGGCACTTAGAAATAATTTTCAATTTTTAGTTACTATAATCCCTAAGAAACAGCACTTAGAAATAATTTTCAATTTTCTGTTATTATAATCCCTAAGAAACAGCTAAGATTGAAATTTTTGCTAGGGTTTTTAAGTTCAGTATAGAAGCCATTTTAAGTTACTATAATCCCTAAGAAACAGCTAAAATTGAAATTTTTGCTAGGGTTCTAAGTTCAGATATAGAAGCCCTTATCCAGCGCTGCAGAAAGCCCCAGGGGACTCCTTACCGAAAGGCTCTAAGGGCTCATATGGGTGGTTGTCAAAATTAAGGCCCCTTTTTGGGGTACCCAGAATATTAGGTGCCATTCTATATTAGGGACCCAAAAAGGACCATAATTTTGACAACCACCCGCATATTGAGGCGTTTAGGCCCAAAGGCCATACTACAGAAGGCTTTTGGGCTATTTTGAGCCTTGGGGTTATACGTAGCAAGCCGAATGGAGCCTCGGAGGCTGAATCCCACAAAAAGGCGCCGACACTCCGGAGGTGCCCAGCCTCTACCCTAACCCTAAGGCCTTATATAATATGGTCTTTAGGCCCAAAAGCCTTAAAATATGAGTCCTTAGAGCCTTAGGGTAAGGGTCCAAAGGACCCAATAATTAGGTGCTGAGTTTTAGGATAGTAGCTATGTAGCTTGGGATTTCGGAGAGTGTATGATTACTAGGTCCTTGGACCCTTGGGGTTAGAGGATTGACCCAAAACCGGTTTGTTCTTGCATCCGGGCTTGGGAAGTCGGGTCATAATTGCTTCGTCCCAAGATCTTTCATGAGAGTCAAAAGGAGCACATACTCAAGCGAAGAGCCATCAAGGAGCAACGACGGCGAGAAGGTCGACAGCGTAATATTTAGTTCGTGAATCCTTTTGACTCCCATGACCGAAACCCCTGAAGCCCTAAACCTTCAGCCCCTACACCCCTAAACCCCCTGAGACCCAAAATCAGTGAAACCCTAATCGCCCAAACCACCCGATGCTAACCCTTAACCCTAAACCAGCAAGACCTAAACCCTAAACCTAAGACCCCACACCCTCGACACTGAAACTCCGAACCCGTAAACAACTGAGACCCTTAAACCGGCAAGAAGCGAGACCCCAAACCACCCCCCCAAAGTAGGTAGCATTGTGGCCCAGCACCCATAAAAGGCGACTAATTAATCTACATACTTTTGGTGTCTAGGTAGAACCTAAACCCAAAACCCTAAACCCTAAAACTGCAGGAGATGCGAAGCTTTTCGAGCCAGACTGTCAGGGGGACGGCTTCCTGTTGCATTCGCAAGTCCCCAAAGACAGGCGCAATCGGTTTAGGGTCTAGAGTTTACGGTCTAGAGATCGTGTGAGCGGGTTACGGTCTAGAGATCGTATGAAGGTGTAGTTTTTTTGTTTAACACGGTTTGGTTGCTCTTGTTTGTTAGGGTTGTAGGCTGTCTTATAGGGTGTTGCAGAGGATGCCGTGATTGATTATTCAGACCCCTTTATTTTATATTGACTTTATAGTTGTTTAGGAGCCTGTTGCAGGTGATAGAAGAGTAGCGAGAGTTGATGTAGGACCATGATGAGTACGTGCGGATTACTGATGTTGCTCTGTTCAGAACTATGAGTGTTATGTCAGTCTTCCTGCCGACATGATCTTTCACTGAACTACAGTCGCCGCCGACTTGAGGTGGTGTGTCAGTCTGGAGGATCTGCTCAATTCCGTCGGCTGGTGGTTGAAGCGGTCGCTCAAGGCACAATTCAACCAAGCGAAAAAGACAGGTTCGACGTGTCCGACTTGGTTGTGGGCCCATCCGTTTACACAGTGACGTGGTCACTCTTCGGGGTCGTGTGCTTTTCGTGACTGGGGTTCCCGATGCTGTAATTTGAAGCCCATACAAGGATCCCAAATAACTTCCTTGCTTCATAACTGGGTTGTCCTTTGGGATTTTTTTTTAAATTCCCTACTATTTTGTAGAGAACCATAATGGTGTTCAAAGGGCTTACAGGACAACTCAGATAAATGAGACCCAGGTAAATGAGCAGTTGATTCGGCCGATTACAGAGCGGGCTGGTTCCATGAGCTGGGCCTTACTAAAGCATCCCGCTGGTTTGCAGTGCGATGTCTTTGTGACACACTGTTGGGCAGAGGGCATCTACGAGTTCATCGAGAGAGTAGAGCATGCATGGCCGAAGAATGCCTTTAAGGCTGGGCTTTGGAGTACCATACTTTAATACTTTTTTGGTACGTCTTACTTAAATGGAACCAATCATGAAATAACAGTCTATACTTTTTGCTCCCGGGTTGCTTCAAAGCCCAGAAGGTGGATACGTCTGCTTTCTGTCGAACCCTCAAAATCTCGACATCGCCAGCCTCATTGCTCAACCGATTGATTCGCCGTTCGCCGTCGCTCTGCGATCTGCATCTTCTCTCCTAGTCGTTCCCAATCATCGCTGCTCCATTTACACAAGGCTATGGTGTGTTTATGAAGCGTTTCTGGCTGTTTCGTGGCAGAAGCCAAGTTTCATGCAGTACAAGTTTGCATTTTTTCGCTTCTTGTGTTCTCACAAAACTGAACAATTGGAACCAACCGGAGTCCTTGTTCCATGCACCTGAACCCCCAAAAAGTAGGTAAAATAATGGCCCAACACCGATAGAAGGCTATTATTCTACATACTTTGAGGGTCTAGGCACCCACAATCCGAGGAAGAGTGTCATTACAGCTTAAACCCTAAACCCTAAACCCTACACCCTAAATCCGAGGAAGAGCGTCATCACAGCTGCAGTCCGGCAGTTGGGTTTCTGGCCTGGCATCCTACGGATGGCCTGCTTGTCACCTGTCGTTTCTTCGAAATGTCGACCTTAGGGTACCTTAGGGTCCCTTTAAAGGGATCCTTTAAGGGTTCCTTTAAAGGGCTACACTATATATGGATACTATAAGGGTTCCTTTAAAGGGTTACTTGCTCGCGGGCTTACCTTGGCGGCTCTTAGGGACATGCGCACCCCTGATGACGAAGTCGAAGGTACTTCGCGGCCAGCGGCGCCGGGATATTGTGGCAGGTCGAAAGCGAAGTAGGTCTCCCTCAACTGCCGATCCTAGCAGTGGGTGCCTTTGCATGTAACTTGGTCAGGTATGAGTAGTTGAGTTTGCAAAACATGAGCAGCACCAAACCACCAGCAACCCTAAACCCTAAACCACCAGCCCGGAAAATCCCAATGCCTTAAAACTGATGCAACAACTCCGAACCTTGAAGTCCTAGGTAGGATTAGGGAGACCCCTTTTCTTAACCCTACTTCTGGCTCTCTTACAAGGGACCTTCTGGAGAGGGTCCTCCCAATCCTAACTTGAAGGGGTGGACTCCGAACACTGAACCCTAACCCCTGAGCCCTGAACCCCAAACCCTAAAGGGGTTGCGGAGAGGCTTCCTGGTTCCTAGTATCCAAGCAGCGAAGAGGTTGTCCAGCTTTGTCAAGACACATCCAGACTGCTTTGCACCCTATAGGGGCCTTAATTTCATCATTGCCTATACTTTTTTTTTTTTTTTTTGGGGGGGGTCCTGATTACAACGATAGTAAAAATGGGCCCCCATAACTCTGTCATAGCTGGGTAGCATCTTACATATTTGTGGGTACTTACGCCCTAGAGGGAACAGTAATTATACTTTGTAATAGTATCCCGACCATGGACCAATTGAGTTAGTATTATATGTTAGGGTTGGTAGTGGGTAACGTAGGATGCTGGGCGAATGGTTCTGTTTATGTAAATATGCAGTTTCTGGATCAGCACCATTGACTGTTTCATCGGCACAGGCATCTTGGTCCTACTGTTGAGGAGATGCCGATGCAGCCACGAAGTGTGCAGTTGCCGTCAGCGTGCGTGCTTGTTTCTGATGGCGCTCTGTTGCGGATTTGCTTCGTCGGTGATGTACACCAGTGGGAGTATGGGTTCCACAATCCAGCTTGCCTTGGGCAGCCTGTGGCTGATTTGGTTTGTGCTTGTTTGCTGCTTAGAGCTTCTCTGTCATAGTTGGATATCATTTTGCCTTTATGAGTACTTAAGCCCAAGAACGTATTGAATACCAGCTATGATTTCTAATACTATCCCAACCATGGACCAGGTTTGATCGGATGACTTTCGCAGATGCCTTTCTGAGCAGCAGATTCTTGGAGCAGGACTTGTCCCATCGATTGATCATGGAGGCGGGCTGTTCATCGGACACAGACGCTTGGGATCTCATCCGGCATGTTTTACACTTTGTCGGATTGTCACCCTAAACCCTAAACCTAAACCCTAAACCCCAAAGACCTTAAACTCCGAACCCTGCCGAGTACACAGACTAGGAGGATCCCTACTGTAGGAGCCTGGTTAAGAAACCCTGGCTCTATCACACCAAAATAGTAGGATCCATATAAGGGGCGCATATAAAGACCTAGAAGGTGACATGAAACCCACAACCTTCACTCACAACCTCAGAGGCCTTGAAACCGCAGCTTAGCTTTAGACTAACCAACATACCCTAAACAAAGGTAAAAGTGGTCATTCATTAGGGCCATACACCTTATTGAAGGTACATTGCTTAGTCTAGGTAGGGGCAAGACTTTTCTGGACCCTCCACACCCATCTGTGCAACCGATCTACCAAGAGGGTTGCAAAGTCCTCTATCTAGGGCTGCTTGTTGGATCCCTACTGTATCCAAAAACCCTTGCACTAAACCTATCATACTAGGATGCCCAGTAGTACCCTTATTCCCTTTTTGTAGTCCTAGGTTCCTTACACAGTTACCCAATACCAAAAAGGGAGCGCTTTTTATTCCTAGGCTACTGGGCATCCTAGTATAAATGCCCTAAACCCTAAGCCCCAAACTCTAAACGCTAGAAGACCTAAAGGCCCTTTTAGGGTTTAGGGCATAGTATCTCGACTCCAGCCCCCGAGTTCCAATTCCCTTCCAGCAAACCTCCCAGCCGTAGTTTGCTAGGCCTACCTAGAGTCACCAGTGTACCTTTAAACAAGGTAGGTATATGGCCCTAATGACTTGGTACATTTACCATTTTCGAGGTACTGTGCTTACTCTAGATAAACCCTGGAACTCTCCCCCCCCCTCCCCCCTTCCCCGACACAAGAAAACAAAAAGCCAGAAACCACGACCCTGGCACGCAAGGACAAGGCACGTCTGCGGGCGGAGATTTTTCAAAGCGGGCAAGCGCAATTGGTCTGAGAAGCCCAAAGGAGGTTCTACCGTTTTTGGTTCAGGGATTAGGGTTTTAGGGTTTGGGGTTAGGGTCAGGGTGTGGGATTTCGGGTTATTGGGGCCATTGGATTTGGTGGTGTGGGGCTTAGGGTTGAGGGTATAGAGTTATGAGCCCAAGCAGTCAGTAGGGTTTTAGGTGCCTAAGCCCATTCACAGCATAGTATTAGGGACTTGTAAAAGGACCTTGCTACGCTCCAAGTTAATTCACGATCCTGCCAAATGTCTACGAATCTACAGCTGTTTCGAGCTTAGGGGTTTGGGGGCTTTCGGGGTTTGTGGATTCGTCTAGTGTTTTGGGATTACGGCTTGAGGTTCATGTGTTTTCATGTGTTCATTCTAGATCTCATATTCCCTTTTTTCTATAATTCAAGGACCCCGAATGAATTGTGCTCTGTAGTCAGAAGCTTACAAGTTAAAGTGTTTTAATGCTCGGATCTCGTCTGTTGGCTAAGGTGTAGTGCCAGGATTTAGGGTCCAGGCCTTTGTGTTTGGACCTGCTGCTGTCGGCAGCTGTATGTACCCGCCCCCCCATGCAAGGGCGCGTTGGATCCCAGTTGTTCTGGATCGGGAAGCCCAAATACCTAAACCTCCGTCACCCTACACGAACCTGATGACCCCAGAAACGAAAACCTTGCAGTTCCAGATCTCTGAGCGGCACATCAAACATGAAGTCTCAGAAAAGGCATCCGGGAAGTCCTTCTGGGTTACTACGCTTTCTGCGGTGTGGACATGCTCTTCTTACCTTAACCCCAAATGACCTGCTGTACCTTTTCAAGGACATGTAAGGAAATCATATCAAGGAACCACGCAAAAGGGTAGGTTTTTGATTAAAGGGGGCACTGAACATTTGAGCGAAAGGCACTAGACTCATCGAGTCATCAGTAGACCTGATGAGACGAAAAGACCGAAGCCGAGGCAAGAGGTAGAGGAGGCGGTGGCAGTCTTGCTGCGCATGAACATCTTCACCTACGAGCTGCACCGCACGGCAGCTTTGACTGGGGAGCTCGGTGATATGTCAACCTTCAGCCGCTTTTGGGTTGCTGGCGCACTGATTTGGTGGAGCCTGTTTCCTCTGGTTTTGCGTGGGACGAGTACGACAGTCATGATTGATATTCTCATCGCTGTCATGCCAGCTCAAGCAATATGCTGGCTCATACTTGCCTGGCTGTTACCGCAAGACAGGAGGGCCTTCGCAGCTTCTAGTCTAAAGCTATGGCTTTTGGTGGTATTTCTCAACATCAGTTGGATCGTGGATTCTGGCCGGTCGTTCGTTCTTTGGTACCTTTGCGCTGGATCTTTGGTGTTGGGCCCATCGTGTCTTGCACTTTCTCTTGCTGGACCCCTGCGACTTGCCCGTCTGCCTGTTCTGGGAGTTCCCTTAGTGCGGCTGCTCATTGGCCGAAATGTATTCTGTCGACGCCGGGCGCGAAGAGACCGGGGAGAATTTCCGACAGATCTGGTATGTGATGTCAAGATGATGGCGGACGTCAAGATTGGGGATGCTGTCCTGTCCGTGTGACAGCCCTAAACCCTAAACCCTAAATCCTAAATCCTAAACCCTGAACCCTAAACCCTAAACCGCTCGTCTGTGCTGACAAAGCTCGCGGTCTTGCAAAGCAACGCCGGAAATATTGTCCTGTGTCATCTCTGCGGAAACGTGGGAGACGGTCGTGGGTCATACATAGACTAAAATAAATACATAGTAAAGATAACAGTAGTGATTATATAGCCATAAATAAAGTATGGCTATCCTATAATCTCTCTCTATATATATATATATATATGTATACATATAAGTATAGGGCATCAGGCCCGGCGATCTCGGGTTTGGGGCTTATCATAGTAAGCTCTAGATTTCAGACTGCGACCCAGACTGAGCCCAAGACGCAGGAGTACCCAGACCCCCGGGAGGATCCAAAAAGAGATCCCTTAATGGGGGATCCTAAAAAAGTACCCTTAGTAATTTTGGGCCCCGAATTAGGGGATCTACTTTCTAGATCCGCCCGGAGGTCTGGGTAGTGGCCCACCCTTAACCCACGCAAGCAACATGTAGAAATGACTGAGGTCTGGAGGTGAACAAAATGAAGACTTGCGCCAGGGAGGTGCATGCGGGATGTGATTCCGTGGTTGACTGAAGGTGTCGGGCCTGTGAGGATGGATCTTATGGTTATAAGCCCGAAACCCTATAAACCCTATACGGACAAGAAGGTATAAAACAAAAAAACAGTTGTCGGCGACTAACCAGCAGTTGCAAAAGGACGCCCTTGCCCCCCCTCCAAAAAACACACCTATAGCAGTCTAGCGTGATTGAGTTTGGCATTTAAGGCGTGGGGTATCTGGATGTACTGGTAGAGCTGCAAGTCCCGCCAGATTGGGTTTAGAGGCCCCACATCGGAACATGTAGTGATGTGCTGAGTTCTGGGAGCCAATCTAAGACCCTTCATTCGGGATAGTCTAGGATTTCATTTTAATGACTTGGTAGCTGTTCCAAAACTACCGAAGTGGATCCCCAGAGTGGAATGGCCTACTTCTTGAAAAGCACGAACTGATTCCCACTGCTGATGGACAAAATCCTGCATGACCTTAAGGACCCTAAACTATGGGAGCTATGGTATATTCCTTATAACGGGTAATGCAGGATTTTGTCCATCAACAGCATCAATACCGGTCTTACCTCTAAGGTCGGGAGTTCCATGATACCAACATTCAGTAGCTGCAGCTGTGTAGATAGCCTTTCCCTTCTTACGCTTTCTACAACTTACGATCCTGCAGCGAGGAATCCTATACATTCTGACGGCCAGGAAACTCAGCAAACGAGGCTTGGGCCATCGGAGCTAAGGTGAGGTAGGGTTTCGATGTGTTGGATGACTAGTTTGTACAAGTAATTACCACCGCCGCCATACAAGTGTGTAGGGTGCGGCAACCCTATATCAAAGCCCATGTAAATTATGTCTAACCCGTGTAGAGCCCGGTTAGATCCCGTAAACTTCCCTCTAGTGGGATCCTTTGCGTTGTTGTTCCCTGATGCGCAGATGATCGACGTTGACGACGAGATGGTCGGGAGCTCATCCTGGGAACCCTAGACCCCTTTATAAAGACCTTGAAAGGAACCCCAAAACCCTACATCCCTTTATCGAACCCGTATAGAGACCCCTTTATTTGGGAACCCTGAGACCTAAACCCTAAACCCTTGGCTCAGGGCTCAAGATCCCGAGCTCTCAGCCGGCACACTCTCCCCCTCACCCTAGCAGGGTTTCGGGTCTTGGGGTCTAGGGGCTTACGACTATAACTTGCTTAATGAGTAAGATTTGTTTCAAGATACTTGGGTCATAGGTCTGGGGACTTACGACTATAACTTGCTTAATGACTAAGATTTGTTTCAAGATACTTGGGTCATAGGTCTGGGGGCTTACGACTATAACTTGCTTAATGACTAAGATTTGTTTCAAGATACTTGGGTCATAGGTCTGGGGGCTTACGACTATAACTTGCTTAATGACTAAGATTTGTTTCAAGATACTTGGGTCATAGGTCTGGGGGCTTACGACTATAACTTGCTTAATGACTAAGATTTGTTTCAAGATACTTGGGTCATAGGTCTGGGGGCTTACGACTATAACTTGCTTAATGACTAAGATTTGTTTCAAGATACTTGGGTCATAGGTCTGGGGGCTTACGACTATAACTTGCTTAATGACTTAAGGTTTATTTCAAGCTACTTGGATTAGTGTGAGAGTTGAGCCGGAATAAAGTTTCTCAGCAAACTCTGAACCCCATAAACACCGTGTTGTTCGCAATCAGGCTTTTGCTATGGCCGAGCGTGGTAGCAATCCTGCTAAACAAAATGAGAAACATCGACTTCAGCAGCTGTTGGAGGAGCAGGACCCGTCAAAACATCACTGCCCATGCAAAAGTTGAGGCTAAAGCCTAAACCCTAAACCAATCCTTCTATAGCCGTGTTGTTTGGGAAGCAAGCTTTGCCTCATGAGCTGCAGTGGAGCGGCCAGAGTGGATCTAGGACTGAGCGGGGTGCAAAAGGTTGAAGAAAAGCCCAAGGGGTGGTTCAGGGTTTAGGGGCCCCGAGGTGTTGCCACGAGTAAACCCAAGCCTGAGCCCCAGCCCGAAAACCCCCTTTAACCCCAAACCTTCAATGGTTTCAAGTGTCTCAGATGTTGGGGATGTGAGATCTCGGGTCTGGAGCCAGCGGAACATGGGGTCCGTTGCATATTTGTCAGGTTTGGGGTGTACAAGGCATTTAGGGGTGTATGGTTTAGGGATATCGAGTTTCGGGGTTAGGGTTTGATTTTAGGGGTTCGGACTGTGCGGGTTCAGGGCTGTTCGAGGTCAACGTTGTGGGTTTCGAAGCCCCCGTGCTGAGTCCTAAGAAGAAATTAAAACCAGAGTCAGGATTGGGGCTTGGGGTTGAGATTACTATTTGTACACGTCGGTGCTCCATGCCTGCTTCGAGACTTAGGAGAAGATTGTCTGCTACACACTGCATTGCCTTGCATACCGAAATCGAGTTATATATTACTTGAATCGGGAACTATCGTTACTTATTCCGACCTGCATAATACAGCATGTGGGCTTCAGAGTGCGTGAGCTTGACAATAGAGTTCACAGGAATTCTGGGGCTAGCTTTAGAATTAGGCTCTCCGGCTTAAGGGTTTGTGGTCGGGGTTCAGGGTTTAGGATTTAGCCTGTGCAGTTTATGTTTAAACAAGGAGCTTGGAATCAGGAAGTCCGATTCGTGGAAGCACCGAAAGTTTGCAGTTCTGTATGTTCTCTAAGATGGTCCCGTACCCTGTTAAGGACCCGGGCTTCGCACCTTTCTGTGGGTTGAGGGATCACAAGCCCGACCTGCTTTTGCAGCGCCCAGATCCCCAGCTGCTTCACGAACTACAGCGGCAACGAGTTGGGCTGTCTTCCGAATCAGGTGCAGAGTTTGAGTTTCTGGATCTTGGGCAGAGCGCTTTAATGGCCTTTGGCGATTTTGTTGTAGGTTTCAGGCTTGGGTGTCGGGGATTTCGGGTATACGGAGGTCGGAAGAACTACGTAGTAGTAGTAGTAGTAGTAGTAGTAGTAGTAGTAGTAGTAGTAGTAGTAGTAGTAGTAGTAGTAGTAGTAGTAGTAGTAGTAGTAGTAGTAGTAGTAGTAGTAGTAGTAGTAGTAGTAGTAGTAGTAGTAGTAGTAGTAGTATCCACTTCTGTCTCTGTCACACAACAAGATAGCCTCAAACTCTGAACACTAAACCCTAAACCCTCAACCCTAAACCCTAAACCCCAAACCCCAAACCCTAACCCCTAACCCCTAACCCCTAACCCCAAACCCTAAACCCCTAACCCCAAACCCTAAACCCCAAACCCCAAACCCTAAACCCTAAACCCCAAACCCTGAACCCAACACCCCAAAACCCTAAACCGTGCTCGTCGGTCTTCGGGTGTTACAAAAAGGGCGGCTCTCTGGTCTGAGTCTGGATTGTCTTTGGGTTTAGGGTTTTGGGTTTAAGTTTAGGGTTTCGGGTTTTGGGCTTTGGTTTAGGGTTTTGGGTTTTGGGTTAGGGTTTTGGGTTTAGGGTTTAGGGTTTAGGTTTAGGGTTTAGGGTTTAGGTTTAGGGTTTTGGGTTTAGGGTTTAAGGTTTTGGTTTAGGGTTTAGGGTTTAGGGTCTTGGTTTAGGGTTTAGTTTTAGGGTCTAGGTTTAGGGTTTAGGTTTAGGGTTTAGGGTTTTCTGTTTGTTCATATGAAACCCAAGAGAATATTAAAAAACAATGGTTTTATTATGGGTTCTAAGGGGGGGGTTTAGTAGGGGTTCGGCGGCACAGGCTGTTAGGAAGTTTAGTGTCGTCACCTTTAGATTCCCGATGGAAGCGAGCCGGCGGCTGCCCAGCAGGTAAGCTACACCATTTTGAGTGCCCGAACATGGGTAGTGCTTGCACGCAACCATGCGTCCCAGGCTATAAACTGTGTGCTATCCGAGTTGGTGGCTGGATCCGTGGCGCTTGCACCGTCGATCTTAATTTGCAGCATGTTTTGTAGATCACCGGTCTCAGTCCCTGCTATCTTCCGGGTACAGCTCCTAGAGACTCCAATATCCCTTAATTCAGGAATATGCCTCAAATTATAGTAGGATCCCTTGCATGATTTAAGGTATATTCCTTAATTAAGGGATAGTGGAGTCTCTAGGCTAGTCAGCAAGCTCATGGAACCCTTGTAGAAACCCTGGTAGAACCTTCATAGAGGCTTCCAAAGAATGCACAAGAACCTGAAGCTCCAAACGCAAGCTCTCGCAGGTGCGGAAGACTGGCGAATGGCACCTTGTTCGCGTTGGCTCAGACTGCGTACCCCTAGGGGTTTAGGGTTTAGGGTCGTTACTCAGGGGTTTAGGGTTCATAGAGGTGCGAGGCTTTCAATGAGGTGTTGCGGGGGCCTTTAGGGGTCAAGGTAGGTATCTACATCTCCTTTAAGCACCCATGGGACAAGCTAGTACATGCGGCCGTAAGTGCATGGGATAGACAGTTGCTATAGTAGACCCCAGAGCCCGATTGAAATCATTATGGGCCCTGTATCAGTTTAAACTATTGGGGACCATGTTGTTTGGAATAGATTGCTCACCAAACGAGTAAGCTCGAGTATGCTAAGGGAGAGTTTCGGCATTCAGGGGCAAGGTGCCGTACTAAGATAGATTAGAGGCTTCTTCTCCCCGGCTTGCTGGCCTGGCAGCCCGAGTTCAGTGTTCGTTCTACATAAACCCTAGACCCTAAACCCCTAACCCCTAAACCCTAAACCCAGCCGACACTGGACCAGTAATTCTGTTCAGGGCTTTTGTGATGGGTCTCTCGGGTTTCAGCCGTTGCCACGTTCATTCCTGCCCGGGTTCGCAAGCAGTAGGCCCAGTGTGTCCAAAGTGACAGAGACGACGGATCTTGCTTTAACCCTGCAATGCAGCCTCCCCAAGCTAGGACTTTAACTTTAGACAAGAGAAGAACATTCGGCACGAGAAATCGGTGAAAGCGTGCAGGGTGCAGCCAAAATTGCCGAAATGGCCCCTGAGCCCCACTCCCCAAACCCCCGATACTGCACCCTGAGCCGGCTGCTATTCTGCAACTCATCATGGACAATGCTCCCAAACCCGAAACCCGGACAGGAACTCACAAATCCTGGTGTCACTGGGCTTTGGAGTACCATACTTTAATACTTTTTTGGGGACCTGTTACTGAAAGGGAACCATCATGAAATAAGAGTCTATACTTTTTTCTCCCTTGTTACTTCAATGCCCAGGTAAAGACCCCTAAACCCCAGGCCCCTCCCAAGCCTAACGCAATGGGACGCCACGGCGACCTGCTCGCGCAGCTGCAGTGTGATCTGCCGCATGCTGTCGAGAGCCACCAGGATCAGGGCCTTGTGAGGGTCGGCTATATGGGAGTCTCCGACAATTAGGAGTACTTCATTTGGGGTGTCGTTATAAGAAGGATCCTACTTTTTGGGGTGCTATATTAGTGTCCCCTATTTTCGGAAACTCCCACATAACGCCTAAACCCTTAACCTTTACCAAAACTCTAGTGTTTAAGCACATTGTACCTCAAAGCAGGTATGCCATTTGAAGCCTGATTCGTGTTTTCAGTGGAAGTCTCTGTTTGCAGTTCGGGCTTCAGGGTGTTGTACAAGGCTTCAATATTCAGAATGAGGCTGTGATACACCCTAGCATAGGCATATAGATAGCGGCTAACTGAAGTTTTCACAGGATATCGTTATCAGTTTTTCGGGCCTCTAGCATCGAGCTTGGTCTTGGCATTACTTTGATTAGTTTCAGGTGCCGGCTTCGGTTTCATGTGGGTGGTTGTCAAAATTAGGGTCCCTTTTTTGGGTCCCTAATAGAATACGGCACCTATTACTTAGAGTACCCACAAAGGGACCATAATGTTGACAGCCACCCATGTCTGCCCAGACACTCGCACGAGAGCTTGCCTCCCCGCCTTCCTACAAAAGGGTCCTAATCCGAGACTTGGTTGACCAAAAAGGTGGATATGCATCGTTCCGACGGAGCTAAAAACGCTCCCTCTTGAAAGGGCTATGGCACTAAACCCTAAACCCTAAACCTAACCCCTATAAACCCTAAACCCCTAAACCCTAAACCATGCGGCTATGGATGACCCAGGAATGCACACTTTTCCTTTGATCGCAGTCTCAGAAGCCAGAATGGCATTACCGAGGAGTTTCAGAAAACGAAGGTGTCCAAACCCAGACCTTCACGACAAGGAACCGAATCCCGGAATTGGAAACCGCAACGCATGGTAAAACGGCCTTAAGAGAACATGGTTTCAAGATATAATCTCTTAGAGAACATGGTTTCAAAATATAATCTCGTGGAGCTAAGAGGGACTACCAAGGCGATGTCATTACCAATAATGCAGACCCGAAGCCCCAAATAAGTGTATAGTTGTCAAAATTATGGTCCCTTTTTGGGTACCCCAAATATTAGGTGCCGTACTATAAAAAGGGCCCAACAAGGCTTTACCGAAAGCCCTAAACTTGGCCTCTTACCTTTCAGCCCTCGACCACAACCGGTTTAAACTCTACATCTTAAGCCCTACCCAAAGGCCCCAAAGTATTTCCTTTTTGGTGTTCATATTTAGATTTCTATAAGGTAATCCCAAAAAGGAACTACTGTGGGGCCTATGGGTAAGCATAAACCCCTACACCCCATACCCCTTTATCTATCCAAGTCTCCAGGAGTTCCTCTTTGGCGCTGTGCAGTGCCCTAGCACTTTGATTAAGGTTTGCCGGGGCTTCACAAGATTAGACTAGTGTTTAGTGCTTAGGGTTCGCAGTGGATTCATAAGGCCTGAGAGCGGGCTTGACAAGGATGTCATAAGGGCTATCCATTGACGGCTTGGCGCTCAAGGTTGAGAGGGATTAGCTAAGTTCAGAGGCTTCCCGAAGGTCACAGATTCATGCAGTTCCGTCAGCCATCAGCTCAATCGTGCCTGGCCATGAAGAGTTAGGGCCGGGAGGTAAAAAGCGAGCATTCCCCTCATCTTGCATAAAATTCTCCCTAAACCCTAAACCCTAAACATTAAACCCATTATTTCCCATACCCAGGCGACTCAGGCTGGAAAGACAATCGGCATGCTTGCCTGTAAAACCGTGCTCCAAGTCGGATCCTTGTATCATAGCCCCGCCCTTAACACCATACCCTACAGTTACAGTAAGTCCCAAACCGCAAACCCGAAAAGAAGCAATCCCTAAACCCTACCTAGACCCTCAAAGTATGTAGAACAATAGCCTTTTATTGGTGTTGGGCCATTATTTTACTTACTTTTGGGTTTAGGCAAGCACGAAACCTAAATCCCAGACCCCACGGTCTGATTTCGTACACCCCCGACCTGTAGTCCATATATACTTATGCTATAATGGACCCCAAACCCTGCTCTAGCAGTAAACACCTCCACTTGGGTGGTTGTCAAAATTACGATCCCTTCTTGGGGTACCTTAAGTATTAGGTGCCGTACTATATAAGGGACCCCAAAAAGAGACCCTGAAATTGACAACCGCCCACTTTACATCCTACCCTAAACCCTAAACCCTAAACCCAAAACCCTAAACCCTAAACCCTAAACCCAAAACCCTAAACCCTAAACCCAAATATTAGGTGCCGTACTACTTTACATCCCACATGAAGCCTCAGAGTCTCACGGCGAGGCCAGTGTTGTCGGCGCAGAGGTCAAGAATATTTCCGTGACTGGGCATGCAGACTGTAGAAATCCCACTTCCTAGACCGAAACAGCATATGTAGGATGAGATATAGCTATATATGTGTGTGTATATACATATATATATATGTATGTATATATGTGTAACTCCGTATTGGTCCAACTGAATTGTGTCTCCGTTCACATACACATACGCATATAAGTACAAATACAGATGCACATTTTCGTGCATACATATATGCATATGCACATGCATACAGACATGTGTTAAGACATATCCACATCTTAAGTTTGGGTCTACTTGCTTCTTGGCTCACCTACCTCTTTGTCTAGTTGTTTAAAGTTTAAAGAAAGTCCCAACCCCAACCTTTCCGGCTTCGTGGCCGCGATTTACCCACAGGACCCTGGCAAGATTCAGGACTTGAGGCAAGTTGACGGTTGAGGGTGCTGTAGACGAACATCTGAGATCTGCCAAAGCCATTGATATATGTACTTAAAGCACCACGGGACTCAGCAAGTATGGTAAAGAGCACCTGAGTTACGTAGTATGAGTATATACACCTTGCTTGATGGGTGATGCATGGCTTGGCGATTGTGTTCTAGGTTTTGGCTGCGTGGTGGACAATATCCTAAATAATCACTGTGGAACCCTAGAAAGGCCCATTATGGACGGCTGCCCCTTCTCAAAGGGTTCTTCATGGCGCTCCCCGTCAGCTTGTCAGTGTCTGGTTCTCCCCAAGGCAGAGAAATCCTGACTCTCCAGCCGCCCCTAACCCATCCCTCAGTTCCCTACAGTAGAAGCCAGAAAGTTGGAATATGGTTATCCTAAACCCTTTAAGGTATATTATAGGGGATCCTACCATTAATCCATATTCCAACTTTCTGGAGTTCCCTTTAATCCAAGACGTTACTAGGTAGGACCTTGGGACATTTCATGTTGTCATCGTTGGGCGTACGAGGATCTTGTTTACGAATATTTGTTCAAAGGCTACAAGGAGCCAACCCACATGAAATTGGCGAAAAGTACAAAAGAAGAACCTAAACCCTAAACCTTTCCCAGGACTGCCTTTGAGCAGGGTCGTGAGGAGGAGCCCCCCGACGACCAGGGCAAGGACGACACAGAAAGAGCTTCGACTGCATCTTGGGTGTAGGTTTTTGGCTAATGTCGGAACCTGATTAAGAAACCCTGGCCCTACAATATAAATAACCCTAATGAAGGCCCAAAGTTACCAAGGTTTCTTAATCAGGTTCCAAAATTATGGGTTAAGGGTTTACATGGGCTGATCTGTGAGGGCTATGTGGGGTTCTGTATTGAGGGTCCCTGATTGTTTGGGAGCTCTCATATATCCAAAGTATACGTAGCAAGCATAAACAAAAGTACTGTACATAGGCGACTGGGAATCTAAGTTGGTTCACGGAGAAACCGCTGTTAAGCCCTAAACTCTAGACTCTAGACTTGCAGACTTTCGAACAAAGGGTTCCAGGCTCTTTCAAGCTTGAACTCCAAGACCTAAGTCGAGCTCTTCTGTTGAACGAGACTCTCCAAGTAGTTCTCTGTAGTTGGTTATCTAAACTTGGACTAACTATGGCCATAATCGTA